AGGCAAAGACATCTAGAACAGTTAGACCTGGAACTAAGAGGCCGTGCAATGACCATGGAAGAATTACGAATAGCATACGGTCGATCTACCGGAATGAAAAATTTAATTCGCGGGAGATTAGGGCTAGAAATTACAAAAAACAGGAAGCAGAGGCCAATTTCGAGTCTTCTAATTCACAAAAATTTAATGTTCGCTCAAAATAAGAGATGTAGGATCCCGATGGAGAAAACAGTCTCCGCTAGTCTTATGATAAAAACAAATCGTTCTACGCGCTGACCCTACCAGAAGACCTGAAGGCGGACCAAGTACTGAATTCCAGGTTCTCAAGCTACCAGTCCCAAGAAAGTTCTATTTATGTGCCTACTCCAGATATGGTGGATTTTTTTAACATACTCCAGTGACCATGACGGCCATAGGGACCTAAGAAATGCATTCTGCCGAAATTCAAAAAAAACTGCCTACGCGTCCACCAAAACATCCAACTAATAATAGCTGACCTTCAAGCAAGCGAAAACCCAGAACAATTATCAAAAGTACTATTCCCTTGAGCGGAAAAGAACATTTTTTAAGAAAAAAAGTGTCGAACGCACGTAAACTTGTGTCACATGACTAGACATTTGTTTAAAGAGTACGCAATGCTTGAGAAAATAAAAGCTATACGCACAGTAATATTTAAAAATTATTTTCTTTACGTCCACTCTCATTAAATATCTTCACAGAATGCGTGTTATATGAATTCTGGTAGAGAGCCGAGTGTGTTACTTGCCACCATATTTTACAGCAGTTTATTTTGAAACATAGATATAATGTTTCCGTTTTTGTACTGCACGAGGCGTAGTTGACTAAAAAGATGAATTCGTTTGATTTCTATCATGGAAATAAAGTTTCCGTAAGATCACATGTTGACGGGCTACTTAGTGACTATTCTATTTGAATAGAATTGGCAAATTCCATCGTAAGAAGACCGTTTTAATATATTTGAAGGCGTTGACTTCCGCCAAATTTATGTGCGGTTTTCGTTACGGATGAGAATCCGTGGAGTTTCAGAGCGTCCAGTGATTACTTTAGGGTCTTCAGTATTTTCATTGGCTTGCCCTTTTGCTACTTATTTAAAAAAAATGTTTTCATAGTGCTATCTGCTGAAGGATGTCCATGCATGTTACATGCTAATGCGAAGGAATCAAAATGTCACTTTCTGTCTGTTTTTTTTAAAATTTTTCTGTCACACAAAAGAGTGGTCATATAAATACTGGCATATTTTTCAAACTGCTCAGGTTCTTACGTTTTTACAAACAATAAACAGGCTGCCGATACTAGAGAATATCTGAGTTCCAGGAAGCAGTTTAGAAGAAGAGGATGCGATCACTGGAACAAGAGTTTTATTTTCCTGACGTTT